TACGTATTTTCAAATGGAAAACAGATTACAGAACTAATTAAATAAAAACTAAAATACAAATTGAAGATTTATTCTAAGTATTAACAAAGTCATTACATGGCATTTTTAAAATAATAATATGTGTTTTTAATCAAAAATATTAATCCAATATTTCATAATTATCACAAATTCCGTTTGTAACATAAATATTAAGAAAACAAAACAAAAAAAGTATTATATTGACTTCCCCGAATTTGGGACTCGATCCATCGATCCTTCAATTACAATTTCAGAACTCTACACAATGAACCACAAGAGTTATTTTCAAAAGCGTTCTATAAAATTTATATCAACCAACATGGAATTTTTCAACATTTATTTTCTTAAAAAGTTTCCGATACTCAGGTGAAAAACCAAATGACAAATACAACAAACGATCTAAATAACCAAATGACCTAAATGACAAATATTAAAATTTTTCAAAACGCATCAATTTAAGGGTGGCTTTTTATCAAAGCCGTTTGTGGTGTAAATACAAGAAAAGCAATAAACGATCAGAGAGACACTGAGTATCCTCTATTATATTAGACCATTCTGGTGATTTCTCGAGCAAGATACGCAAGGCACGCGGCTTCTTCGTCGAGCAAGTCTGTCGGCTAGATTATGCTGAAACTGGTGCTCCGTGGCGAGAAACAGGAGAAGCCGAAGGGGCTTGACCAGCCTAGGTGAAAGCCTTGCACCGCGAGGACGTGACGTGTTAAGACTACAAGAGAGTTTACACGCCATTCGGCTTGGCTCGCCACTTTTGCCTGACCTCGGAATACCGTTCTTTTATTTTCAGAAAACAAAAAAGAGATTTATTTTCCTTCGAAAATTATTGCTATACAATTGTCTATTTCTTAGAAAATTATTCCTTCGAACTTTCTTTTGAATAGACATTTAGCAGTTCCCTTCTAGAAATTTACTGAAAATTCTTTATTAGGCATTTAGCGTTTTATATGGAGGAAATTTGACCAAGGTCTTGAAACCGTTAATCCCTTACCTGCTATACAAATTATATCGATACCGGAAGAAGCGATAACATTACTGAGTTGTCCTGTCCGTTTTGACCATACAAATATTCAGATAAAATTGAATATTTTCTTGAAAAAAAAAATATGTTTACTTATTATTTTTTTTCATGAAATACGAACAAAAAAAAGATAGATTTTCGTTTGTTATAAATAAAAGAAAATTTAACTCATATTTGCCTATTTTTTGATAGAAACAATATAATTTTAAAAAATAATGTAACAAATAGATTTTATAAATTATTTAATAATTTATTATTTAAGAAATTATTTAATAAATTATTATTAAAATAATTATAAGAATGAACACTCAAAATTTTGTATTGGTTTTTAAAATAATTAATTTTTCTTTTTTTCGAACAATATTCTAACCACATTTACTTCACGCTTTAATTTCAATTTTCATATATTCTTTTTTAAAAATATAATCAATAATACATCGAGTGTAAATTACGAGGTCACGTTATGACAAAGATAATATGCTGCGCTGCATAATGATATATACAAAGCATTATCATTACTGTCATTGAGAAAGACCCATTTCTGCCTAAAATTATGAAACGAATAGTATATTTTATTTGATGCGCAATAATTCAAAGATTATTTGTTGTAAACATTCGAATCTCAACACAAGAAAGAAGAAAAGCATGTTAAAAAAATGTCTAGCATTAAATGCTTAGTAAATTCTACAAGGCTACGTGACTGCGTGCATTTCAATCATTCCAACGTCAACGAAGAAGGAAGATCACGATCCTTTTACTATACGTTTCAGTATTACAGTTCCTTGTAATCTGTATCAATGATTCCTTAAATTCCCCTGCCAATATTTACACATATTTCTGTTTCAGTAATTTAAAAAATTGTAATACTAAAATTTACAATTATTAAAAATTATATTAAAATATTTTCCATTAATAGAAAAATAATATTATATTTTGCGAAAAAAAAAATTATTATATAAAGAAGTAAAAAAGTGTTGAATAATCATTAGTTACTGTTATTTCGTTTCACTTGTATTTTTAAATTAAATTGCATTAATAGAATATAATTGCCGTTTTGAGTGTTCAATTAAAGATGACGTTTCATATACGATTGGAATGAGAATCACTGTAGTCGAGCATTGCTCCTACCTGGCCGTTGCAACTCGAATTTTACTGTGAATACAAAGTAACTATAAAGCTGTACACTAAAACTGCCTTCGAATTATTCTGCCCAGTATTTTTCCACGATTTTTTTCTTTAAAAATTACGTGAATCAATTGTGCGAGGAATAAAATTTGACAAAATGTAAATATTTTGAAATTTACGTTTCCAGAAATACCAAAATTTTTTCAAGTAACGTAATAATAAAATAACAATATATAAAATTACTGTGCTTTACTAGTTTAAACAAAAATTAAGTCAAAGATAGCTGTTAACCTAACCAATACTAAAATTAACCATCTCAATTCTCTAAACGTTGAAAACTAACCTAACTTTAGCTTTTGAATCTATATTTTATAAAAAATAACATTAAATATCTGTAAATGGTTATCAATAACGTAAAGCAGTAAATAATTAAAGAAAATAGTGACAGCATTTAATGCAGAAATATCAACGCAAAATTGCACTGAATATCGATTAAACGGAAATATCGAAACTATTTCTCGAATCGAATTCACGCGGAACGATAGAGGACGACGAACTGTCGAGGACGTAAACGAACTTCATCGGGGGGAAAGCTGCGAGGAGTCAAAACGAAAGCACTGCTTTTCCTGCAAACTAATGACACAACGAACAACCTGACTTTCTTGAATTTTAATCGACCATAGAGATTAAAGAAAAAAATTCAATATCTCCGCAACGTTCATAACTGGAAAATTTCCAAAAAAACATACAAAAGATACCACTGTCAAACGGTTGATAGCTTTAGATACGTAGGGTTTACCGTTCAATTTCAGACTACTAATATGAAACTAAACTAGATTAACTGTCGGATGGGTGTGATCGTGTACCATTGACATGTAAAGAATTAAAAAGAAGGTTAATTATTCGTTAGGTAATGTAGGAAAGTTTGTCATTTGTGACAATCCCATGCTCCTGGAAAATCACATATAAGAGACAAGTGGAAAAAAACGAACGACATGGCTCATTCAGTGCTGGTTGTTTTGATCGACTGTTCGTGGGAATGCGGTGCGCTGCCAGTGTAACAGAAAAATATGTCTGTCTCGTCGTTATACCAGGGATATGTATACACAAACGCTGCACGCGTATTGCACAGTCCGAAAAGAAAGAAAAAAAGGAGACAACCTTTAGTAGAAGCCTTGCATACAGACTGTTTCTAATCTAGGTGGCTTAACTTTCGAAACTAGAAAAATACAAACAATATTTCGCGATCACGATCAACGTATTGCTTTAACAAAGTATTATTCTAACATGTCGCAAACGTCAATTCGAAACTCATGTTTGCAACGTGTTTTATCGATTTCCAGACAAACGCAAACACGTATAATTAAATAAATATGTCAATCAATGCGGTGAATGTATCGGAAATTTTTTCATTATTCGAGAATGATATTCGACGCACTTTTTTAAAACCATATGTTCGAAAAGTATCGGACGTAGAAATCGATGCACTAAGTTTGAAAACGCGGCAAATTTTGAATTAATAAAATACGAAAAACACTGACAAGTCACATAACTCGTTCGAAAATATTTAGTTCACGCATTCTCCGTTTTGAAATCACATAATTACGAAATTACGAAAGTATTAAATATTTCCATCACCGTTCATAAATGACAACCTATAAACGAAACAACATTGCGTACGAAATACATTTAACCGTGCACGAAACATTACTCGTCTTTCAAACAAAGTAAAATATGTTCTGGATGATTGGCTATTCATTTTCAAAACATCCTGTAGTATGAAGAATCCATATATGTATATCGATAGGTTGGTATGTATCGTAGAAGCACGTTCGAGGTTCATCGGGCTCAACGAAAAGGAGTTCGTAGATTTGCCGGACCAGAGCAGACGACGACTTTCGAGCGGTACAAACAATGTCTGACACAGTTTTCTGGCTCCGTTGAAAGGCGAAAGGAATGTTACGAGAGACGATCTCATTATCTGTCGAGCGAGGAGACGAAAGCGTCGTGGTCGCGTTCCGCGACAGTTTCTAGAGAGATAGCACCAGTAGGCACGAAAGAAAACACAGTGGCACGCGAACAATCGAACAAGATAATCACTAGGATGGAAAAGATAGAGATGCAACAGTCACCGGTTAGCCCTGTTGCAACCTCCTTAATTCTCTCACGAGTGGAGAACTCAGGGACGACATGAATCAGGAATGACATTGGGTTGTATAAACTTCAAATCCCACTGACGCGCATATAGACGCTTTGCGCACGTATATATGTATGTACTTTATGTATGTGCACATATATGTATTTATGCACGTACAAGCGTATGTATACACGCATGTACGTGTATATACATAGTGGCAGAATGGGAGGGGAGGGGAGTGCCGCGATACACACAACACCAACGTCGACAACGAACGATCGAGTACTGCCCACGGGAATTCTCTGATATATAGGTTAACCCGGCCGACTTCTTGCCTCGCAACGTTATGCGGTACCGTTAAACAGTCACTAGACAACTGGCTTCCGTGTTGCGAAGCCAAAGCTTCGTCCGTCTCTGTACATGTCCAAACACAGTAAAAGATATGTGCTCCGACTCTTAACGAAGAGTGGGCTCTCACTGGATCACTCACCAGTGCGAAGAAATTCGTGTGGCAGTCCTCCAGGCTAGCGCCGTTCGTTTGATGCGACGGATGCGTCATGGCTTCTCCATCGTACGCCGTACACTCATTAGCAACACTTCTCGCGGCGGCGCGCCTCTCTCAGCCCCGAAAATCACACGGCGAGGCCGCTATTATTCGAGAACATTTAGGAGGGTTTTCACTTCTCAATGGCGACCGTAAAATGGCGGACGATGGGAAACAACAAGCGCAGCCGCCCGAGGCGCCTCCTACTGCTCAACTCGCGCAGTTCCCTTCAACGACGAGGAAGAAGATGGCGGCGCTCATCAGGCATGGTTTACTCGCGAATCCTTTAAAAAGTTCATCCACTATTCTCGCCGTGAACACGGTCAGTACAGACACTTTACGTACACTTTTTAATCACCGTTATTGCACTACACTCCACAGCAGGAGTGAAACAGTTTATTAACTCATACGAAACGCGCACTAACGAGACCATCGTCATTTTACAGACGAGTTCGCGATACGATGTAACCCGCTTTAAGAGCAAGAAATCATCCAAACCACCTAAAGTAGTGACCCCCACTTTCAATGATGATAACACGTCACTCTCTACTAAAGGGTGAGTATTATAGTCAGCTTACGCACGAATTTGATCGAAATATTCGCGTTACGTCGCGTTGCTGGCCAACTGACAGAGGACACACTGCGGCCATATTGCCGTTTACCACCTCTTTTCTACGCGACGACCAATAAGCTGCCGTATTTCACTGCTCTCAGGGATGACACGAGCGTCCATGGCACCCTGATTTTTACAAACAATTGTTTGATAGATACGCACGACTGGGGATGAAATTAATAATATCGCGATTATTGTTGTGATTTATCTAAATGCAATTCAATTATTAAATAACGTACATAAAGATACAGCGCTACTTCTGTACACGAAATTCTTTGAAAAGCGCGTCAAATAAAAAAAAAATAAAATTTTTCTAAATACTCCAAAACATCGTTAACGATGAATGAATCACGTAAATAGAATAGTACAGTCACATTTATTCAGCTATTTGATACGACACATATAGTTCGAACAAACTTTAGTAGTACTTTTGCAGGATTTAATTATTAAATTTGAGTTATAGTTTAAAAATTAATGTGTGTTTATTTTAAAATTCAGAATAAATTTTTATTTTATGACATACAAGATGGACGCATTATACGGAATACCAAGTTTTTGAAATTACAGTAAATTCGAATGAAATGACATTTGAATATCCCATTGATTCAAATTCATGAGTATCTACGGGCTGACTTTGATTCCATCTTTACACGTGACGTAACGTCTGGTGCCATACCCTTTTGTACCGCTATATCAGATTTTCCATTGACCACAAGAATTCTCGCTAGTTACGTTACTTTAAAATATTTCATACGGCGTTAAACGAAATTTGTTAATTTAATTACCAATTTAAGTATAATGTTACAGAACAATACACGTATGGCAACAGCAAATGTACAAAACGATTTAGTCCTTGCATATTTTCATTCTCCGATTGTGCCAGTTTCATTGAGAACACCTGTTTCGAAGACTAAGTTTCTCCGTCCTTGTGATTAACATTGACAAACTATCGCCCGTTTCTCGTAAGGCGTATTAAAATTACGGTTAAACGCATGGAAAATAAAACTGCATTCTCATTTTCTCGAAACGTCAATTTCCTTATAAATTATTGAATGGAAAACCGAACCATCAGAAACATAAGTAAGCAGTTTCCTCATGCGTGTATTTAAGTAATCAGTAAGGTTTGTTACGTATCTGGATTAAGTCAAGTATGGGGGACAATCGCAACGCGGAACGAAAGTTTCGCTGAAATATTAGAAACTTTCGTAGTTACGGGGTTTCTCTTCGGTACGTTTCGTTCCTGGCCAGTATTGGCCATAACTGTATCCTGAGAAAATACAACTGAGGGCACCACTGTACAGTCGGTGGACATCGATCTTGTCCCCTCCTCTCCCACGGTTCTCCTCTCTTTTAAGGGAAGCCTCCCTTACCGCACTTCGTCCGGTAACCGGAGTCTTTTACACGTTACGAAAAGTTTGGCGCGAGTCGTGTCGAGATAATCTAGAAGAGACGATATTGATTTTCAAACCGTGAAATCAATGACTATCGACAGAGATAGTCTTCAGAAAATTCATGTGGTAATCCAATAGATATGTCTGCGACTTTTTAAATGGAAATACGTGTTGTACTAATTACTCTGTCGTAATATGCCTTTCCTATTGTTAGGGACTTTCTTGAACAAATGTTTTAAGCTCGTTTAAAAACTTAAAGCTATTTGACACTATCGGTTATTTTATATAGTTGATCAACGATGCCGGATCGTTCGTATTTCTGTTAACAATAAATGAGTCGTATTAAAAATAAAATTCGGGAGGGACTTAAATTTGTTTCGTACTGTTTTGCCAACACACATCAGTTGACGTAGTTCGTGATCGATCCGCGTCCGCGGTGAAGAATGAATTATGTTGACGGGAACAATAAGTCGTTTATTTGCTGAAATCTATTGTTCCGGTGTAAATATATAGAGGAGGAGCATCCATACTATGTGGGAAGGAAATAAATCATGCGTTAATTAAGTGTCGTTTAACGAAAGAAGACAACTTTCCACCTCGATGGCTCAATTCTATCCGACTTCGTCGCCTGCTTCGTTTTTCGCAAACTTTCTGTATTTCAGAAAGTTTGATTTTAGGATTCGTCTGCAAAAAGCTTTATAAATGTCATTTATTTTTTTTCATGCACCTTATAATTTGAATAACTCTATATGTTTTATAATTTTAAATACAATAAAAATGAATTTTTTAAATTTATTATTTGAAAAAAACAATGCCAAAAAAGTTCTGTTATATTGACCGTACTCAAGATTATAATGGTAGTAACTTTTTTAAATCAATATAATTTTACTGTTCATTAAGTAATATATCAAAAAAAAATATTAGTAATCTAACATTAAAATTATACAGAAAATTAATCGATTATATAGAATTGAGCTGCCATTGATTTCGATAAGTTATTTATTATGATCTTGGAACTTTTTATTTTATGAAATATCGTTAAAAAATAAAATTATTATATTAAAAGTTATGAAAAATAAAAATTTCAATAATTTTGTATGAAAAAATTACTGACAGTGGGCGTATTATTAAAATATATACCTTTTGAGAATCAGAGAAGCTAGGTACTCGTCGCAAAATCGATATTTTCAACATTCGGTACAGTTCAGGTAAAAATGAACGGGTACTTTTAGTACTTTTTATTAATGAAACTTCCTTTCCCTTAATTAAATATTAATAAAACATATTTCTTGACTGTTCTTCAGCATAAATCAAATATCAGTATTAGTGATACTGTTATAAAGAATTCATCTGACTTAGTTCGTTTTTATTTTAATAAATAATTTTTTTTTAACAATAACAGTAACCTCTATCATTCCGCCCCCTCCCCTCCCCTCCCCCCACCTCCTTAGATGTCACGTTCATTTTTAAATGTATCTTAAATGAAATAATTAATATAATAAACAATAAAAATACAGAAAATATTCAGATAAATTTCTTTTGCCTTTTTACAATTATTTACATTGTAATACATTTTATTGTTTCAGATTCCTGAGGTATCGAGACGCATACAATCCTCCCGAAGATGTGTCTAATCGCATAAATAAAATTTGCAATGAACAAAGTATTTCAGCGGACGATGGAACAAAAATTGACGATTCCTCACAACGTTTTAATCTCTTCTTAGCGTGTGAAAAAGAATTTCAACATTCGTTAACAAATTCTGTTTTATGTTTTATCGAAACTATTGGTAAGATAGTCCAGTTTTTTTTTTGTTAATTTTTATTTTATTTGAACCAATTTTAATTTTATTCCTATTTCGAGATGGTAGGATGAAAGGAATATACTTTAATACAATAATTTACAAAGGGCTAACTATTGGGGAGTGGTATATTTGAACAAAAGAAAATGAAGGAAATTAAAACTTTTTTAAATGATTACAAATAAAAATATTATAAAGTAACAAACTACTTATTAGAAAGATTTTAGAAGTAGCTATTTGCGTATTTCAATCATTTAAATTTGATGCACTGTTTACATTTCATTATTTTGTTAGTTACCTAACCAAATATAATTCTTGTTGCAGCTGATCTAAAAGAATATTATAGTACACCAGTTGGCAATGTAACACCATTGGATGCAATGCGTAGTATGGAATTACCAAAGAATTTGCATATTAATAATGACTATGTTCGATTCCATCCAGGTATGTTGCTTTTATACATTTTCTCTATACCAGAAATTTTGTAGGATGTTACTTTTAAAGGTTGTTGACAAATTCAATATTAAATCCCTCTAAATAAAATGATTCATTTCTATATATTTTTAAATTAGTACTGTTGTTAAGGATTTTATTATTGTATTTTGTAACAGTGGAAAAATATTGTGGGTAATTCTATAAATAGATTTTGTTTTTTTACTCTTTTTCCAAATAAATATAAACAAACTAATCCTAAAAAACTTTTAGATACGGATACACTTTTCAATGGCAAAACAGCATTCCCAAAGAGCTCTACTCTGGTAACTGGTTTGAAGTACAAAAAGAAATATCCTGGACACAAACAGGAAGATCCTTACCTAGACTATATGCTTAAAATTTAAATATTAGAAATCATATATATATGTACTAAGTGTATTACATGAAATATAAATAAACATTGTTATTTTTAATTATTCACTTTTTAGTAAAAATTGTTTACAGTTTTGAACATCAGTTTTTGTAATATTTCTTTTCGTATTAGATATATAATATCATGCAAAAACTTTGGGATTTATACAATACTTTGAAATATCAATATTGTATTATAACATTCAAACCAAGATTGTTATACAACTGAAAGAAAACTTCAAAATAAAAATATATATCAAGCAAAGCACATCTTTATGTCAAAAAAAGCTGTGTTAAAAATTATGTATTAGTTGTTTGCAATTATAGAATTTAATTGGGTAGATACTCGGTGTCTGTATCACGCAACATCGCCAATTTAAACAACTACTTCGGAATGATTCTTAATACTACAGCAATCAGCAAAGGGTTAAAGGTGACGAGAGTCTAATATTATATACCCTAGCTTCATCAATCGACCCATCAAGTTTACGTTAGTAACCTAGCTCCAAGACGACCAACGATTTATTTACGTTACGATAAAGATTCACGTTGTATAGTGTATGGTAATAATTTTGTAGAAAATAATGGCAAAAGCTGCGAGTGCAACTGGTCTCATAGAAGCACGAATTCGACCAGTTTACCGTCCTAAACCGAAGGTATTCGTTGAAAGAAATTATTAAAAATATATAAATTGGTATTTCATGCACCCAGTTACATATTTAGGAACTCTACATCTACGTTCAAATTTTAAAAATACAAAAATTGATCCTTAAGTATTATTTATGTATTTTAATGTAATGTATTACTGAATTACAGCTAGTTTTATGTGTAAAAAAATAAAACAAAATCTAGATATCTTTTCTTATAATGAAAAGAGAGCAAAAAGTTAAACGATAAATTTCTTATCTATTGCAGAGGATAGAACTTTCAGGATCTACCAAACCAGTACCTTTTATTCTTCGACCCTTTTCTGGTCTTTATAATCCTTATCCTTATGGCTGCTCCGTATTGTGTAATCATCCTGCAGACTGCGAAGCAAAAGAAGTGCTTAGACGAGCAAAAGATTCATGGGTAAAATTATAACCATAACATTGTATGCTGGCAATAACAATAACAAAATACAATTTTGAATATTGTATATTATGCATTTAGCATCTTCAAGTCTCATTACGCATATGTTAGGAATTAAATTGAATTATCATAGTTTGTATGTTGTTTCGTACACTCTATAGGCAACTGAAGGAAAAGCTTTATTGTTACCGGAAGAAATGGAAATGATCAAAGCAAATTTGATGACTACAAGTGGTGTCACTGGTATAAGTGGAAATATTAGAATAGAAGTTATTAACACAGATGAAGCCACTGTGCCTGAAGAATTATTTCGAAAATATACTGAGACAGATTCAAGACCCTTAACTCCAGCACCTACACTTGCTAGTGGGCCTGTCTTAACCAGCAGACCAATTGATGATGAATTTCCAGTGACCTGTAATCCAAGAGAACGTACAACATTAGTTCTAGACCTCAGGACTAATTCACACAAGCAGGTAATTTGAGATGTTTCCATTACTTGTATTATTATAATGATTACATAAATTTTATTTTCAGGAAAACGATACTTTTACTTGGCATGCTTTGACTTTAGAATCACCACCAACCCATAGAAAAGCTGAAATTTTTATATCTAAGCCTAAACTTCGTTGTCAATCACGTTCATTAAACCCTCCAGCTGATGTTTCAAATCTATTCGTTACTACAGACGCTTCCGAATCGGTACTTCACAATTAAATTTATTAAAAATCTATTAAAGTTTTATTTGACACATCTGTATAGAATAAAAATGTTTTTGAGTTTATTCGTATTTCAATATAAAATTTTGTAATTTTTAAGAATTCTAGTATCAATGTAGTGGAAGGTCAAATAGAAAAAGTAAGTAAGGAGCAACAACCCACAATCATTCGTAGAAGAGGAAAACGATTACGTAAAGGAAAATGCAGAAGAGGATCAGCTTATGGACAGCAAACCGAAGTTCGTGATTTATTTGAAACAACTGAAACTCAAATATCACATATAGGCGACGGTTCCAGGAGAACATCGTTAGTGACGATTCACTCTAAATATTTTTACTTTCTTATTTTAATTCAAGATGTTTTTCCTTTTTTTTACAGAATTCATACAGCTAATAGTGATGCAGAAAATTTGTCGACCTCTCCAAAGAAAGCTTCTGCAGTAACTAATATACCTTCTACGATGCTTCCTAGTTTCTTAGAGCCAGATATTTTAAAACATCTTTGTAGAGAATTGGATAGTGACAAGGTGGAAGCAGAATTTTCAATTAGGGTGAGATTAAAAAGTGACATTAAGATTTTAGGCAGTTAATATTTCAAAAATGCAGTAACTTTCTACTATTCAAATATTTAAATAAATCTAAACTATTATACTATTAAGAAAATGTCATATTATTATTAAAATATTCAAAATATTATGATATAAGGATGTTTTATAAATAATATTAATATTTCTTATCAAATATAATTATAAGAGAAAACTTGCCTTCAAAGAAGCTCTACGAGTGAAAGGAGAAACTTATTCACGTACAAGAAGATCTCAAACATCAAACCCTGCTCTGTCAAATACACCAAGAGTATTTTCTCGTCAAGTGGCTCGTTTTGAAATTCTTGATAGCGGTAGTCTACGTGGTAAATAAAATTTAATACTTTATGTAAGGTTGGATGGTACAAAATATTGCACTGATATTTAAATCTTTCAGCAAATTCATTCATGTCTTATAATATTGAATTAAAGTTGACACAATATACATACCTAAAACTGTTTCTAGGATTAACGGTGATGGATTATCTCAGCAAACATGTCTTTGTTTCTTCAGGAAGGAAATTAATCTTTGGTAGATTTTTCAATAAGTATCAAGACGATACGACACGGGACGTTAAGAAGATTTTACCACACAATATTCCAGAAGCTCTCCAAGAAGTGATTGGAAAACCTATGACTGAAGAGCAAGAAACACATTTCAAATTTCTATTTGGTGAAATAGAAAAACCTCTGAATTTTAGAAGTTGGTGCGGTTTATGTGCTGCTGTAGAACGATTATTCTGTCCTCTTCCTCAGAAAGAAGTTGATTCTGCCAGTTGGCTTGAAAGAGTTGATTTTGAAACTTTAGAACGAAGACTTGGATCTGTTGTTAACGTGGATCCAAAACTAGCAATGTTTTTAAGGGAGATTCGTGAAAAATAAAATACATTAATATAATATTTATGAATTTAGTAACTTAGCTATTCAGTACAAATTAGTTACACATATTAATACTAACCCTCTTTTAAAGTTACTTCTCTTCAATCGTTATAAATTTTAAAAATAAATGTATATAATACTGATTTTTGATAATAGTTTGTATGTTACGGAAACCTCAGGTGATTAATGTATGTTGCTAGTATCTCAGGATGTTTACTGTTAACATTATATTGTCAATAAATATAGATATCAAATTTTCAAATTTTCTAAAGACCCAAATTTTTAAATTCCCAAGTCATAAAATTCCTACATTTCCAAATTTTCAAATTCCCAATTTCCCAAATTCTTGATTTTCAAATTCATAATAAAAATATACATTATTAATAAATTTTGCAAATCCTGAAATAAAGTGATATACATATATTAATCACTGACGTTACCAGGTGAAGTCCAATAAATCATTTTCTTCTGCAACGAAGTAAGACAGAGCATGCAATAAAACTCAGTTTTCAAATAATTATTTTTACCAGACACTATAGTAAAATGTGATTTTACATGTTGCAGAAAAAATAAAAGTAAACATTTGCTATGCTATCTTGAGTTATGTAGGCCTTTTAAACTACTTACTTCCTATTTTGGGCATGGGACTGAGTTGAATGAAGAAATGTAGACAGGATCTACGTTCGTCGCACAATTTTATTGCCGGAGCGAACTCGCCAGTATCCATTCGAGCGTACACAATTTTATTACAGCGATCCTCTGTTGGCTGCCGACAATGTACGAACTGTTTCGAGTTCTTCTTTCGTTTTGTTTTCTCGATTCCTTCAACACAATAAATAAACGAATTTCGCGCGCGCGTGTGTTACCGTTTACGTAACGACAATATAAAATCGTTCTGCATTAGTAAATAAATTAAGTAAACGAGCGGTATAGAACGGTGTAGAAGAAGTATAATCGGGATTCAGGGCGTATTTCGTACTGATATAACACTAATACACTACCGGTTGCATTTTCGTGTTCACTGTGTGTACATGTATGTATGTGTGTACGGTTATATACAACTTAGACTTCTCTTAGGTAAGGAGAACCGTAAGGAAAGAAATGTCCTACCTCTTGCCTTATCTGTCCATGTTTCTTTACATGCAATGACAGAAGGTTCTAAGTTAGGCTTCTCCGTCTATATTTCTCCTTAATCTGCAGAAGTCTACGTTGCACTTGAGTATACTTGTTGTGCGTGCATGTATGTATCCTGTATGAAGTTTTTTACGTGAATGAACGCGCGTACGCGCGCTTGTGTCGATGGGCATTGTTCAGTCGCTAGTTCCTACGCCACATTGCACATACAGCTAACGTACAAATATAACGACGTGACGATTCGTACGACACTACTTCCTAGAGTCTCTATACAGCGCGACGCTACCCGCCGTTTAAAGGGAGTTTCTTTGGAGCTGTTCCGAGACTTAGATACGTCTGATTCCGCGGATTGCTGGTCGTAGAGGGAGAAGACACCACTCTCGGTACCATCCGTGTTGGAAATCTGTCTAGGTCTCTGCGTTGATTTTCAGTATAAAAAAAGTTGCTCCTGCTGGGAGGCAGTGGGACTGGAGTATAATGACGGCGTGCAGGTATTAGCAGTGGGCTAGTTGCCATTCGTGGAGCGCTGCATCGGTGGAATCACTGCATCCCGTTCAGTCCCGTATATCTTCACTGCTTTTTTCGCCATATTGCCCAGCATTTCCATTGAACACTTGTGCGCGGATCTTAATGATACCGCCCATTCTTTTAAACTGATTTCATCCTGAAACAATTATATGTTATTTATTTTTACCACTTATAATAAAGAAGAACCTTTTGATAACGTTTTGTTAGGTGCACTCTGGTGCAACCCAGCTTCGTTTTAATGAAAACAAGTGTACAAGGATTCTTCAATTACTGTTTACAAATTCTGGAGAATTAAATATGTAAACTTTTGTATTCTCAATTTCTTTAATTTCTAATTTTTCAGACTCAAATTTTCAAATTTCTATATCTTTCAATTACCAAATTTAAAAATCTTCAAATCTTTAAATTTCCAAATGCCGAAATTCTCAAATTTTTAAATTTTCAAATATTCAAATATAAAAATTCTTAAATACCAAATATTTCATGTTCAAATTTCAAGATCTCTAAACTTCTAAAGTTTCATGTTTACAAATCTCCAGGTTACCAAATCTCTAAATTTCTATATTACCAAATTATCAAATTCTCGAATTTCCGAATTCCCAAGTCCCCTAATTCCCAAACACTGCATTAATAAAATTTTATATTAAAAAATTTGAACTATATTACTGTGTTCACCAGTTTGCAATAGCGTTTACCCACTTAAAGCTGTTTTACAATTTACATTTAGATAATAAATAGAATGGACATTTATAAATTTTTAAATTAACACATGATAAATGTTGGACAGCATATTATTAACTAACTTTATCCTCAGCTAAGAATTTTTAAACAATTTTAACAGCCATGTTGTACTACATTATCGGAATGACAGACAAGTGACATGAATCCAACTACAAAAGGGAGGATGTTTGATAAGCATTCGGGCAGCATTGATAATACAAGATGTCAGATATGTTGAACCATATACACATAATATAATATCTGTGCATAGATAGAGTAAAATGTAATTTTATGGAAATGTTCTCGAAATGTACTGCGAATGGTACAGCAAAATAATTTTGAAAGCAGCAACATGTAAGAATTTTATCATAGTTGTCTAGAACTCAATCTGACTGAAATAATTAAGTTAAATTGATGTACTCAAAAAGGAAGAACAACGCATAATTATGTTTATGTTATTTACTGGAATAATTTAGTTTACAGTAATAATGTTAATTAATAATTTACCAATATTGTTAACTTAGGCAGCTGTCTGTTATTTCAATATCATAATACAACAAAATGATCAAAATATTTATAAATTATGAATTCAGAATGAAGTTATGTTGATATTAAATTGCACCGCGTCCACCAAAAATATTTAAACATTTAAGTTAAACAAAAGTTATGTAAAAGAAATAATAACTTATAAATTTAGTACATGAAATTGCAAGCGATATTAAGTACTTAATTAGTCGCGACTTTATCTACAATCTACGAACACACCAATTCTAAATACTTACGGGATATGTAAGTACTATTTTCGCATCTCTCGTGCGGACGATAATACATTGTTCTCCTTTCACGTGCTGGAGGTCAGCGCTGACTTCCTCAACCTGAAATTTATTTTAAATACGAAGTGCGTACCTTTTAGAACCCTAACTGAACATTATAATTCTTTATTGTCATTACTTAATTCATTTCTATGCTTACCTGGTCGAGAAAAACAAGTTCAGGTTTCGTCGTAGATTCGGGATGTAATTCTAATCTATTAGGGTAAAGTTTTGCATAACGCGTCTGCCAAGCGCTTGCAAAAGGACCACCTAATTTCTTAATATAACCATGTAAAATGCAGTCTGATCCTGCAATAAACAATTATAGTTATATTTTTTTAAATAAAACTCCAGATTACTTAAATACTGTGTATTGACTGTTAACGATTCATTAATTAATAACTATTACCAGTTCAAATATCTTTAATACTGTTCATGTTAGAGAACAATTTATTAATTATTAATTAATATCATTGATGCTATTGTTGCTTTTTTAAATATCAACATATATTATTTCTTTCATACGGAATTGATTCATCTAAATATTCTATATAGAAAAGTATTAGGGTATAATATAAAAAAAATTCACAATGTTTACGTTATACGATGGTCCCTTTTTACCGTGTAACTTTTATAAGAGAAAGTTTTTTTCTAACACCAATAAATATCGCAGACATTTGAGGTGATAATAATTATTGATCTACTTCGTATAGTACATTACAGAATTCTATGGCGTATAAAATATTACCTTTCTCATCAGCATCAAATCGCTGTTTTTGCTTAGCTTTTTTCTTATTCTCCAACTGTAAAATAATAAAAAGAGAGAAGTAGTAAGTAATCGTAACATAATATTAAAACAGAATTTCCTAAGTTAACAATTTATACCTTGTCTGCTTCGTTATTGATTGTCTCGAACACAGTCTCGGCTACCTCAGCTTGCCATCTTTCAGAGATGGTCAGAGGAAAATTTTTGTACAGATCTTGATCCGCATCCGTCAGTTTGATACCTTTCGTATCCTCTTCGTCAAAGGAACCGATATCAAAGGCGTCTGCGGCGTTCACTTCACCACGTGGCGGTATAAGTGGCGGTGTGTATTTCTGGAGATAAACTTGTTGCCAATCAATACCACTGAAAAACGGGTGTTCTTTCAACTCGTCGGCCCCTCTGCCACGGCAACCGAGTCTGTTGTTGATATCACGTTGCAGCAAACCTTCCAACAGAGAGCGCAGTTCCCGCGAAAATGTTTCCGGTAGTTCGACGTTCTGAAATTGTTTTAGAGGATTACTATGGTCATAAATTGAACTTTCATTTAAAAATATATGCTTTTAAATATAAACTTTGTAGAATAGAAGAGTAACAAACCTTAGTTAATGTCATGTGATCTATTTCATGTTTATCTTTGGTTTTATGTTGCCTGAATGGACTGTGCCCTTTTAACAATTTATGCAACATGCAACCGAACGAGAACCAATCAGCACTGGAATCATAGGTCACACCTTTTGACAATACTTCTGGTGCCATATACCCATGGGTTCCGCTGTAACAAACAGACGTTTCATTAACAATTCTAGCATATGAAATATATTAGAGTAAAATTTGTTTAGAGTCAGCTAACAATGTAGTATGTTAGATTACAAATACATCTGAGTTAAATAAGTAATGTTATACTATATTTTAAATGTAACTATGACAATAATTAAGTTTCAATAGATAATTATCTAAAAATTTACAGATATTTAATGATAATCTATCTTATTATCTTATTACTTTATTTAAATAAACAGTATTTACATGTCTGTGTGAAGTTTAACTTATTTTGTTTTTTTAATATTATATTAAAGCGAACAATTTTTTTTTATTATTTCCTTATTATGTATCATGTTACTATTTTGCTTAAACAAAAATCTTTTTCCTATTTTATATTCCATTTAAGCAAAAAGGTTTTGGACTTGCTATAAGTTAAATTCAATTTCATCCCAAAAAATAGAATTATTAAAATAATATAATTATTTCTTGAATAATCCATTTAAACACTACACACTCCATTAAATCCATGATCTATAGAAATATAAGTTTGCAGATTCTTGCTTATACTTACACACTTGCATGTGGCTTCTTCTTTGAGAAATCACAAGCTAATCCCAGATCTGATATTCTGACATGTCCATGCTCGTCCAGTAAAATATTTGCAGGCTTCAGATCCCGATAAACGATGTACCTACGGTGCATGTGTTCTAATCCCAGTATCACTTCAGCTGCGTAGAACTTCATTTCTCGTTCATTGAATACTCCATGCTGACTGAGGTGATAATGAAGATCACCGCCGTTCATTAGGTCCAGAATGAAGCACAGTTTGTCTGGAGTTTGGAAGGCATATGTCATGCATACGATAAACGGACAATCCACCTGAAACCATAGTTACAATTATATTTTAGTTGTTTAACAAGTCGTTTTATTTACAAACAAACTACATTGATGCTTAAATGATTTTTAAATAAAGTTTAATATATGTTTAGGTAATTATATAATAATTTGTCGCAATTATAATTTAATATACAATTATAGATTCTATATCTATAAATAATTGTATTACATTAAGAAAGTAAGATATGTTAAAAAGGTACTTAACATTTTTCCGTCGTTTGAAAGTTTATATATTCAGGGTGAACGTTTTATAACAAACTGTTTAGTAGTATTAAAAGTAACATATCTTAAAATAACAGAAAAGTACTAAGTATCTTTCCAGCAGTCTAAGAAAACTTCACCAATGAAAGTGATTATAAAGTAATGTGAAATTTTTTGAGTAGAGGCTTCAAGGTCATTTCAAGGTCAGTGTTTTGCACACAATATATTTACGAAAAGAGGCAAAGAATGTTAATGCAACTGCGACACACAAGGTTTCTTTTAAAGGAATTTGACTTTAAATTTTGAATTTAAAATTGAGCACAGTTGTAAAGTTAAAATTTAGACTCAATGGGTTACAAAATATTCAGAGGTAAACAATGTTTGACCAGTAAATTGAAGTCTGCCTCTACCGCTTCCTAACTTTAACCGTCTACGGTATTTTTAGGATATCACATCCTTGAGTAAAGCTTACTCCGGTACTGACTGCCGAAAGCATTATCCTTTCGTTGAGTGCTAAAGTTTCCCCTTGTTTCATTTTTATTCGCTTCTTGTCGAGGCACTTCATTGCGTACATTTTCCCGGTGTCCGCCTTCCGACACCCGTAAACTTCTCCGAAACCGCCCCTGCCGATTATCCGGTGCACACTGAAGTCGTTCATCGTCAACTGAAACAATAATCCCGTCCAGGAAACTTTGAAGCCCAATGAAGCATAGAAGTAACTTCCAGTAAGTGATTCATGTATTAAATTGCTATGTATACAATGTGTGTGTTAAAGAATGGGACTAATTTATCCTATGCTAAATACAAATAGTCCATACATTCTACGTTTTCACTGATGTTTCCAATGAATTAGGTTCAAATTAAATACAGGAAATATTGTTCTAACAAAAGTGTATTGGTCTGAATATACTAATTTGTTCAGGTCCTGGAGTAGTGTTAACTTTTTGTGGTCTTAGAATCCACATAGATGAATCTTATTTTATATATAATTGATGAATTATATATAAAATATACATTAGTGAATATATAAATTGAATATGAGCTGAATTAGATTTTGGTCCACTATAATGAGAATTATTAAAAAATCTATTTTCTCAATATATTTGATTATACATGTAGACTTGTTAATACAGGTCTTGTATAATTTTTAAGAGTCTGAGCACCCAGAGTATCTGACATTAATACAATAAGTATTGCAACAAAAGAAGTCTATTGTCTGAATATATTAATTTATATAGACTCATTCAAGTAGGTACTAGATTATTTTAAATACTGTGAGTACTTTAAAATATCAAACATATTAACAAATTTTATTTTACTTAAATATAACTGACTGACATTGATAATTAATATATTGACTTATATAGGTTTAGGATTATCTTCAATTCTGTGCATCCAGATTACATAGACAAATTTTATTTTATTTACATCTAATTAATAGAATTCTGAATTAAGCTTGAATTGAATACAGTGCTTATTGTTATAACAAACGTCTATTTATTTGATCTATACAAGCTCATTTCTATTATTTTTAACTCTACAAGGATCCAGAGGATGTATATAAATAAATTTTACTGTATTTATGTAAAATTGTTGTATGTTCTGAATTTTATTGTATACAGTTCAACTGCAAATATTTATGCAAACACCTGTTGTCATAACATATTTTCCTCTCCCAGATGGCATGAAGTATCACCTTCATTTGCACAGTATGTAAATTTTACATCTGCTAAACAATTGATTACAATTTCTTGCATGTACCATACAGTTTACATACTTTTTGCAAATTTCAATACACTATAATTGTATAAAAGTCTTGCAGTTTAATTTTTACAATAAAAAAATTTGTACAGATTCTGTAATTTAATTCTAGTTATTTAATTATTAGCTTCTACAATTTCCTGTTAATTTCTCATTGAAGAAAAATGAGATTCATTCATGGAAAATGTATAACACTGAAAAAGAATTAACACTAAACATATAGTATACACACACACTGCATAGCAAAAAAAAAGTTGTAGGAAACATACCTGCATATTTAACTCTAAGTTCTTCCATTGACAAAATCGAGTGTACTTCTCGCTGAAAATATACAACAGCATTTCTTAGCAATTTTCCTCCAAGCAACACGAAGCTGGACCACGTGTTCTCTTTCTTTCGTTAGTTGGCTAAACATACCTCTCCAGAAACTTCTTGAACGGCTCCCCTCTTAAGTGATTAAAAATTTCTTCGATATACGGCTGCAAAGAGGTAATCGATGCGATTTAATCGGATCAACGGGGATCGACCAAGTAGAGTTAACGTTATTAGGATTAAGCGATACAAGACTGTGGGGGACCAACCTCGAATAAGTTTACGGGAACCTCGTTTTTGACGAGGTATTTGTGAACGTGGGACACCGCTTCTGCGGAGTATTCCTGAAACAAAAAATATTCCAAAATTAATCAATGCCTTTTTTCGTTTTAAAAATATAATAAATATATATATAGTTATAAAAATTATTAAAAAATTATTTCGTATTTTTTCATAGAGCACGATGTCAATATGGCTATTCACGGTTCTAACCTATTAAGAGCTGCTTTGAATTAAAAAAAATCCCCGAAACTCCTCATAGTCTTTCTTATAAATCTCTACACTTTAAATTGATACAGTATTAACGTTTTATGTCACAAATTCGCCTTAAGTTTTTAATCTTTCGAAAATAATTCATACGGCAATAAAAAAGCTCATGTTAGGTACTAATAAAATTATATAGTCCTTTTCGTTAAACTCCAAGTTCCATATTGATATAGCACAAGCGCTATTTTGAGGTACTTTTATGCCATGAATTCATCTGCGACTAGAAGCGTTTCGAAATCGAACATAAAGCATAATTCAACCGTTTCCTGGCGAACAAACAAAATCACAAATCTCGTAATTTCACAAGGCACGTGTTACTCATAAACTGGTTGTTAATAGGAAACGTCTATCGGCGATATGGAGGGCTCTTTAATGCGTCCAGGGGAAAAATCGTGGCCAGAAAGCGGTTAAAGGCGAGGCTAAAATTAGGGGCGAAACAACCCGGGGGAAAAGTCGCATGAAAAAGCCCACGGAAATAGTTTCTCCTCGTACGTAGGTATCGAGAGGCTCAGAGATTAGAAACCTTGCTTCTGAACTACGAAGAACACTCATTCTCCGAATCCTTGTTCAAACATTCATAGAGAAGACGAAGAGCGTCGAGGGTACGTGCTTTTCCCGCGGTTTTTCATCCTTTAGAAGCGAGTTTCGCCGCCTTGCAAGCACAAAAAGGGAACGCCTTTCAAAGCTCGTCTTTCTCTTTTTTCTTCGTAAACGATCTCTTGAATCAACATGTTCGAAATCGTGCATATTTTAAAGTGTAATCTCTTTTCGGGCGAACAGAGTCATGAATTTTCTTTTCTTTTCTTTTTTTTTTTCATTAACCTCCCAAAAGTTGGATCTCCATCGTTTTCAAACTGTCACTGAATATTTTGTTAGGTAATTTTGGTTCTACAAAGATTCTTTATACGATCAAATTTCTTCTTTATAATACACGAATTTTTAATATATTTCCCTAATGATTTGTTTAGTTTTTGCAACTTAGTGTGTTTTAAAAATTAATATTCCGAAAATGTATTGTTTTCGAGAACCATTCTACAAATACGAGGTTAGCACTTCTAACCTAACATATCATTAACCGACTTCGAAAAAGGAGGAGGTTACTCAATTCGATCAGTATATTTTTTTTTTCTATGTATGTTTGCCGATTACGCCTAGCTGGGTGGACCGATCGAAACGAAACCTTTTGCATCTGGTAGGTTCTGACTCCCCATTGGTACCATTATCAAAAAATTTTTCATTTTTTAATTGCAAAGTATTGTTATTGCAAAATAACCGGCAACTTTTGAAATAAACTTTTCTCGATTTTAGTGCGCTTTTAATATCTTATCACGGACATGATTCTGAACAATTTTGTTCATAT